TTAAAGTGCCACTACGACGAAAATTTTTGTCTCTGGTTTTGACATTTTTTAGCGCCAATCAAGTTAATATGGTTAGAATTGTACTATGCGATAGTTTTTAGGTCGATGGAAGCGAAATACGCCTTGATATAGCTGGCCGAAATTCACGAAAAACCCGTCCGCCATTACTCAGCTCGCAACCGAGAGCCAGCGACTGAACTGAAAAGCGGTTTTACGCATGAGTTGGCCTGTGACGTCATATGCGCACTTTCGCATCGTGCTTCGTGTGTTGTGAGAGATTCCACAGTGGAAATTCTAGGCGTTTTATAAGATGTATTCTTCCTCGAATTCTTCTTCCAAATGGCATACAAATTTAGCCACGTTTTTTAGGTCGAGCTGCGCATATGACGTCACTTCCGAAAGGCTCCAACTAGTGCCAACTCTTTTTGCCACACTCGGCCATTTTTGAATTGAGTAATGGCGGGCGACCAAAAACGAAAAACAAGGTTGAAATAATCATACTTCCCGTGAGAATTTTGCGATTAAACTTGGCATGGTAAGTGTTTCTTACTTCTAGTTTCCAGAAGTGAAAAGAAAAGGCAATGCGAAATTTTGATCATAGTGGCACTTTAAAAGCAAGTACGGTGTCACTGAGATATAGCTAAGTGGTAGCCAGTGCAGTTCTCTCAGAAATGGAGGAGAGTAAAGAGGAGCTGAATAAAGGAATATATGTCTTACTTAATTTTTTCATACTTTTTCTACTTAATGGGATTGATTTTATTCCTCTTCACTCTTCAGTGTTTAAAGGAGTTCCGGATGAACCAGGTCGACTCTGTGATGGTGAAACAAGTGAGTGATAAAATCACCTCTCTTTCTTTTTTAGTTTGTGCTGCAAGTAGTGGACAGTTTTTTTACATTTGATCTATGGGTGAAGCATAAAGTGTGCAAGCTATGAATCAAAGATGTAAATAAAATACTCATAATAGTGTAAATAATGATACAGAATAAGAAGAAAAGGTTACCCAGCAGTAGAATATGTTTTATAGCTCATCCATGTGTCTGACAGGTTCAGGAAACTATTGCTGGTCACTCAAAATGGCATCAAATGACTGTCATTTTAAAAGAAAAACCGATCAATTTTTTAATTTCTGTCCATTTGTTAGCATGTCGTACCACACAAATGATTGGGAATTGACCCATCATAGCTAAGGTTGTTGAAATATCAGTCACAGGGACTGACAACATTCTGACAACCCACTGATTGCTTCAGGTTCAAACCAGCCAGTGATTCCAGTTATTTTCAAGAGTGCTACATTTTACAAATAGGGGAAACAATTTCTCTCTACAGCTAACTTCATGTTACTGCTCGTTAAGTACATAACAAGGGCTGTGGTGTAACAGCACCCAGTGGCCCCTGACACCTTACTTTTGCTTGTGGGTGACTCAGGAATCTTGGTATTTTACTAAAAAGCATATACTGGGCACCCTGGATTTCAAAGTTTCAGAGCACTGGGCTCCCTTCAATTTTTCTTAGAGCACAGCCTTGCAAATGGCAAGCACTGATGCACTTACCAAAGCCCTGTATTTTTCTTGGCAGAGGTGGTCAAAGTTTGTCTTGGAACTTCAAAAATATTAACTGAAACTATTGAAAGTAGTCTGTTACAGGGTATCCTTTAGGTGTTGATTTGATTCAAATTGTTACAAGGGAAGGTATTTCAATTAGAATATTTACCATAAGTATTGTGCATTTTTGTGCAGGTCCTGAGCTAGCTTCCAGAGGGTTTAGTTTTGTAATTTGTCTTTTCATAATAACAAGGTTATCACTTTTATCATGAAATTGTACAAAGTAAATGGCATTGTTAGTCTTTTAGAGACAATTATTTTGCTTTTTGTAGTCATTTTTTTCTTGGTTTGATTTCCAATTGTACTGTCAGTAGTGTTCTGACAAGCCAGACTTGAAATTGAATTTTGTAACCTTTTGTTACTCAAAACAAAAGGTATATCTAATTATTTATTTATAAGCCAATCATGTTCCTTTTTTTTAATTAGTCAGTGGCTCATTGTGGTACAAATATCAGCAGGTTCCACTTTATGTTTGGTACATAACTTGTACGTTTTAATATTTAATTATGAATTTCAATTGCCTGGAGCAGACATTTTACTGGTCCTTTTTAAAAAATTCTATCAACAACCAGTATTGACTGTATACTTTCTTAAATGTGTGAAAGAATAAATTAATGTTGTTTTGATGATTTAATTTCTAGGCATAATTCGTCAACTTCTGCCATTTACAGTCAGAAGTTTATTTCCGGGGCATTAATTTACTACTCAGTACAAGGCATTTTGAGGAATTGCTGGTTTTTGATTTTGAGTATGTGCAGTTGTTTTTTCATGGATTTCCAACCAGTGGAATTTTATGTTTGAACAAGATGTTTCTTGAGCAATATTAAGTGTTGGCACCTGCAGAGAAGCATAACTGTCAACCTCCAACCATCTCAATTTTTCTACACCAAAGAATACTATTTAAGAGTTTCTTGTGGATAATTTGCAGCAATCAACTTTTTTGATCCTAGTTTTTTGCCTGGATCCAATTTTTGCTTTGTTCAATTTCCTATGAGGACAAAAAGATTGAAGGGATTGTAACTTGTAACTAAAAAGAACTGTTACATGGAATCAGATGTTTTATCTATATCTGGCTTGTTTGGAGCATGCATAGAAGAGGAATATGAAGCAAGCAAAGCAAATCAGAAGTTTGGCTTCATGCGACAAGCTTCTGCCCGCTTCTTCCGGTCCATCAAAAGGGCACACCGGAACATTTCCGGAAGTCTTAGTTCTGTGTTCACACGGCAAAATAATGAAACAGAGGAATCACACGAATCAGAAATACAAACCTCCAGCAGTGGCAGAAAAGCCAGACGTCCTCATTCTATTGCATGCGGTGAAGAATTCAAAGGATTAACTGTTTCTTCTAGGATAGGTAAACATTTTCATGGTAGTAACTGTTTTGCTCAACTTATTTCAGAATTAGGGTCTGTACACACAGTAAGTTGCTCTTGACTTAGTGCTGCATCACATCAGTCGCCACAAGATTTTTTAGTTAGATCCTTTGGAAGTATTATTATTTGTGGCTCACATGGTACCGTCATTCGAAGTCTAAGTTAATTGTCTTCCCTACAGATAAAGAATAAAACAATATTAATATTATCAATTGAAATTGTAACTCTCCATGGGAAAACAGACTCTTAACCCTTTGTGTTGTGTTTCAAGCATGTGTGCAACAAAAAAATTCTTCTGATATAAAAGATAAGTACTTTGTACATGTGCATGACTCTAAAAGATCATATAAATTCATGTGTGCAGTGATGTCATATTTCTGTGTGCAAGAGAATTTGTGATTATGATAATGCTAATAACAATGCTAAATATATAAAATCTTTTAACAACATAGTGTTTTTCAGGCAATCAATTCAGATTTATTGTCTTTTTGCAAGGAAAAGTAGTTTGCTAGTTGGGTTGGCTGAATAACTTGTTTGGATGGAATAAAAAAAAAAGTGTTCTTCTTTTTGTGTTATATAAATTCTACTCCAACTTGATCTCAACTATTTGCTTTAAAAAAAGAAAAGTGAAAACTCAGTGTTGGAATTATGAATTATAGGGAACTACCCTTACTAGAGAGCCACGAAATTTAATTGTGAAAGTTATTGGTTTGAGAAGAAAAATGACTTCATTACATAACCATTATACCATTGTGGAACTAACTTTTCAACTGTAGGTCGTGGGAAGCTGCAAAGGTTCTTGAACAGGCCATAGAGAGCTGTGGAGTCTTATGAATTCAAAAGATAACATGTTTGAGCTGTGTGATACATGTAAAAAATATTGTTACTTGAAAAATTCATCATTTTACAGTGATGATGAAGGAAGAATGTGAAAAAGCAATTACTATGGATTAATAATTATAAGAGTTTTCATGATTAGTAGATACAATACTGAGAGTACAAAATAATGTAAATGGTTTGAACCTGAGGTGAACAGTCCCAAAACAAACAGTTGTTGGCCATAGGTCACAGAGAAAGGGCTTTAGACAACAAAGTGGAAGGGGGGGATGTAATCAGAGTCAAATGTGAAGAGCTGTTTGTTGGTTGAAATGAAATGTTTAAAGTTTTTGTGTAAGGATACTATATTCAGTGAATTGCCTTTGTTTTAGCTGTAAGATTCCACTAGCAATTGATGAAGTATTCACACAATGCTATTCCCTAGGGAATATATATAGACGAGGAGCAAAGAGATGGAGAAAGATACACATTGTTAATGGTCATTCATTTGTGGCAAAGAGATTTAGTCGGGTGAGTGGATTTTATTTCAGTTGGAACTTACAATTAACCCTTTAACTCCCAAGACCTGATTGTCAATTCTCTCCTCTAACTATTACACATTCCCTTGTAAATTAATCACAACAATATGCTGTTAGGTCAAGATAACAACATCAACCTGATAAGTTAGAATATTCTCATTACCTGTTTGCCAGATAATGTGTGGGTGTTATAGGGAGAGGTAACATGTTAAACACCTCTGAAAGTTAAAGGGTTAACTTCAGTTGCTTTGTGTATCCTCTTGGAGTATAGGGTGTATGACCACCACAATTGTTTGAATGGATACAACCTTGAGGTTCAAAACTGACTTATCTTTATCTTTGTTTCAGCTTGCTGCTTGTTCCTTTTGTTCAGATAGAATTTGGGGACTTGGTAGACAGGTATTCAACAAGCACTGTGCTCAATAAAGCAGCATTTGATAAAGCAAACAAAGAAATACATTATTGTACTTTGTCTTTGAAGTACTTGTACACCTTAGCATTAAAATATAAATATGATTTTTCTTTGTTTTACTTTCAGTTCCACATTTGACTTTACCTTTGCTTTGATATCTTGTAGGGTTACAAATGCCTTGAATGTAAGCTAGTTGTTCACAAAAAATGCCACAAGCTGATAAAAATCCAATGTGGACAACAACCAGTGAGTTATCTGTGGATGACATAACTTTTTGTACTGAGCCATATTTTTAACCTGGCCTAGTTTGTTTGGTTTTTCTTCTCAGTAATGGGTTATTTACTCCTTTTAGCATCCATCAAGTCAAACAATTCACTCATCACTCCCACCCATTGGGGCAGTAGGTACAAAACTTCCTCCAGCAGAGGAAGCACCAGGACCCAAAAGAAGTAAGCAAGAAATTATATTTTGAGAATTTTAACTTAATATTTATCTACTTATTTTTAAATTATAATTTCATGCTGAAAGCTTTCACCAGAGGCCATATAAATGTATGCTTTTGTATAGGGAATTCACAAAAGATGATGTAATAGTTTATGAGAAAAAAAGAACTCCTATTTTGACTTTCAACTATATCTGAAATAGCCTACCTTTATCTTTGACACACCCTTCATTTGAAAGTCCTGAAAATAAACGAGACCCTTTTGGGCTTATTAGAGTAATTATAGAATTATTAACCACTAATTGATGATGTTGAAATTTGAAATTGATCCTCCATAACATTACTGATGAGTGTGTCATATTTTTCTCTTTCCCAGTTTAGAAAATTCGTAATTAGGATGATTGTTTGACAGGTGTAGAACATTCATTTACATTTCATTCCTCACATTTCTTTCATGAACACAGCGAGAAGTGACAGTCCAGCAACTCGTAAGCGAGGGCTTGTTAGTGTAGATTATTCACATGGATCTAAGGCTAAAGAAGCATCATCCGGAAGAAATTTCTTGATTTCATTGAACGACTTTACTCTTCTCAGAGTAATAGGAAGAGGCAGCTATGCTAAAGTTTTGCTGGTGAGTTTCATCCTCAGAATTATATGAACACCATTAATAATTATAATTATAATAATAATAATAATAATAAAATTTATTAATTTGTCAAATCAATAGCATTTTCCCACTAAATAAGGACACCTAAACTAAACTAATCTTGACCAATATATATAAAATGCATAATATAGGCAGTCCTGCTCTGTATAGTTGACCCTATATATATGTACTACCCTACCCTGTGTAATTAAAATTACCTAAAAGATTAGAAATACAATACTGATAATATAAAATAATAAGATTTATATAAAATACAGTTCTTGGAATTGTCTGAAGAGATTAAACTTTGTATATCTAATGTATGTAAAGCACTTTTAAATTCTTGTAGCGTTCTTAGTGTTCTTGTTTTTCCATCTAACTTAGACCAGATTACTGGACCTAAGTACCTAAGAGAGTGCTTACGATAACGTGTTGTGCTTACTCTGGGCATAATGAAATCATTGTTTCTTAAATTATATCTATTATTATTAATGTGAAACAAGTTCTTAATATTATTAGGGCACAGATGGTTTCTAACTTTATACATGAACATGGCTCTATCATGTAATCTTCTATTGTATAAGGTTGTTAATTTGGCCTTTTTGAGAAGATCGCTATATGATGATATGCTATCACAGTAAACAGCCCCAAGGCCCCATTCCTGTACCCTCTCTAATATTCTAGAATCACTAGCTTTATAACAATTCCATATAGTACTACAATAAGTTAAATAAGGCAGGATAGCAGCCTTAAAAAGTTGTAATTTTAACCTTAACTGGGATTAACTTCCTTAATCTATTAATTACGCCTACCCTTTGGCTACCTTTTATACAAATGTTACTTATGTGGTCAGAAAAATCTAAATTATCATCAGTGTTTACACCCAGTAACTTGATAGGATTGTACGACTTAATGGCTGTCCCATTAACATTTAGCTCTATTTGTTTATCGTTGAGTCTGCCTCCTCTCATTACCATTGTTCCGTTTTTATCATAGTTCCCTTTGAGAAAGTTTGCATCGTACCAGGTTGTAGCCCTTTGAGCAGTATCCTGTAGTTTTGTTTGTATAGTGTAATTAAAATAATCCTGTTATTATTATTATTATTATTATTATTATTATTATTATTAACTTATTGCTCAGGAAAAGTAATAGTATGAAACTTGCTAATGAATGTTTTCTATTTTCTTCTCCCACCAGGTGGAGTTAAAGAAAAATAAGAGAATATATGCAATGAAAGTTGTCAAGAAAGAGCTTGTTAATGATGATGAGGTTGGTGTTTGTGCTTAAAATTGCATGTTTGTAGTCTTCTCTCGTTAAATGGCTTTCAAGAAATTTGTAGGTGTTGAAGAAAAGTTTTAGGCTCAATCAGTTTTATCAGAATTGTCATATTTCAGGCTAAAAGTATGGTTACATAGAAATTTTGATCTTGGCTTCCCTTTTACTCATAATTATGAGGAAGTAATATGGGGTAAATAGAGATCATGGTAAATTCTGAGTTTAGTGGGCAAATTAAGAAAGTTATTATTCATTTTGGTCACCAGTGTGGGGTGGGACAAAAAAAATATGAGCTCCCTGTGAGGGCATGAATCTTGGACCCTAGAATTTCAAGAAACTCTGCTCAACCATGCAGTGGCGGTAGGATAAGTGTGCTGGACTTCAGGTTGAGAGTTTGGTTGTAAGATTGGCTGGTCAGTGTGTTGTGTTCTTGGGGAAAACACTTTACTCTCACAGTACCTCTCTCCACCCAGAGTTGTCAGAGAAGCCTGGAGGGGGGGGGGGGGTAGTGATACTCCAAATTGCTTCATGGTTAGGAAACCAGGATAAGCTCAAGCTCCTGCTGATTGGGCCACATGGCTTGAGTACTGACTTTTCTGCTCAACCACTGAGCCACAAAGAATTGATTGGCAAAGAAGGCCTGGCTAGCAACCTTTTGTTAAGTACTAAATGTGTTTCTAGACTAGAATGGAAAGTTTGTAAACACTCAAGCCAACCGTGGCTGTTGTGTAGCTAACGGTATGATAGCAGCTAGGTAGGATTGTTTTGTATCCCTAATTTGTTAACTTGTTTAATGGTTTGCTTTATTTCTCAAGGATATTGACTGGGTTCAAACAGAGAAACATGTCTTTGAACAAGCATCAAATCATCCATTCCTGGTTGGACTACATTCTTGTTTCCAAACGGCTAGCAGGTGAAAAGAACTTTGAAATTCTCTGCAAAAGAGCAGAGGATTACCAAAAAAAAAACAACAAATGGAAACCTTTTTTTAAAGTGATTTTTATGATCGGTTTACTTTCTTGCAGGTTGTTTTTTGTTATTGAGTTTGTGAGTGGTGGTGACCTTATGTATCACATGCAAAGACAGAGGAGATTACCTGAAGACCATGCAAGGTAAACACTCACTCAGGCATTCTGCAACCCAGCCTGTTGGTCAGTCAGTCAGTTAGACAGTTTGTCAAACATCAAATGTTATTTCATACTCAACTGAAATTCCTATTTTGGTCGACCTAATTGATACATTTCGACAGTTTTTTAGACTAGAAACGTCTTGATTGGTCACACTAATGCTTTAGTGACAGAAGTGAATTGTGAGAGGAAACATTATATGCCGGTATACTAATTCATAACTCATCCTTAGGTTTTATTCTGCTGAAATTTCATGTGCACTCAACTTTTTACATGAAAGAGGTATGACCCATTTACGTTACAAACATTTGATGATTTCACGCACAACAAGGTACTGAAATATAATTTTTTTTTTCCTGTTCCTTATTAGCTGATGTGTGTTTTTGTTGTTAGGTGTGATTTACCGGGATCTCAAACTAGACAATGTGTTACTTGATTCTGACGGCCATGTGAAACTTACAGATTACGGAATGTGTAAAGTAAGTTGACCCTTTTAAAAGATCCTTAAGTGATATCATAAATCTGCCGTCTTTTCTTATTGAAGGATGAACTAATTGTCCTGCAAACTTCGTTTCGCAGGAAGGTCTTCGTCCCGGTGATACAACAAGCACGTTTTGCGGAACGCCAAACTACATTGCGCCTGAAATTCTTCGAGGGGAAGATTATGGTATGTAGATAGATTAAGGTCTCGTGAACACGGTGGTCCATTACGGTTTATGGCCGATGCCACAGCGGATTTGGACGCTCCCCCAGGGAACCTCTACAAAACCCCAGGGGTCCATTTCTGTCAGGGGGGCTCCAAGTCCGCCAGTAAATATGAACCCTAGGGGTCCAATTCGCCAGGACATCGGAGCTTATCTTGATGTGAAGTGACAATTATTGTTACTCCATCAGGATAGATGCTAGTCTATAGTGGACATCTATAACCCCCCTCCCAACCATAGTATTTTGACAAGTTTCCGCGACACTGTAACCAATAAAACTAATGGGGGGAGAGAGGCACTGATGGCATGGCTAAACTTCAAACGCAGACCTTGCAATCTAACTTTTTGCGTCTTAACCACTACATGTGCCACTATGGTGGCTATTTTTTCTCATTTTTTGCAGGCTTCAGTGTCGACTGGTGGGCTTTAGGAGTACTCATGTTTGAAATGTTAGCTGGTAGATCACCTTTTGATGTTGTAGGAAGTGCAGAAAACCCTGATCAAAATACGGAAGATTATCTCTTTCAAGGTTTGCCCGTAAATTAAACATAATGTTAGATACTAGATACGCGTGCCCTGAGTACTTGAACTTCTCATCACAAATTTTCTTTCGGTGTCATGCATCATAAATGCAAATGTTATTGAGAAGCTTTGGTGCTAGAATAGATCTGAAAGAATTGTAACGTAAATCATTGAACTAATTGTTAAACGAACACGATGACTTACTTTTACATACTTACCAGTCACAGTTTACGAACGCTTCTCCAGTCTTGCAGCTAGTAACTAAAAAGCAAACAAAGCAGTTTCAACGAAGCAGATTTTCTTGTAATATTTGCCTGTAATGATGACTCACTCAGGTTCTTGAAACGTCAGTCAACATCACAGACAACAGAGGACGATCACGCTTTACGAACAACTGGTACTCGCAGCTCAATCCATTTCCTGTATAGATCTGTCTCATCTGGTGAACTCAGCTTGCAGTTTTGATCTTAGATTCTCCTTCACCTCCACCTTCACGCAATACGCCTACACGGCAGGCTTAATTTCTAGCGGGAATGTGCTAAATTCTCCGATGAAGTGCCAAAGCCGCCATATTGGATTGGTATGATCGAGGAAAGCCACCCTCTCGACCAATCAGATGCGTCTTGGTCACCCGTGTTTTCCCGCGCTTTAGGCAGCCTGCTTGTTCTTTCTTTGAGTTATCATTGGCTCCTATTATACCTTCTCTTATTGGCCGTTACGATTATAATTTTTGTTTTTAATTTTTTAATCTTAGAAAGCTCTAATCTCTGCCAAAAGCTAATGTTAGTTTACATTCCTGTTTTTAGTCATTTTAGAAAAACCTATAAGAATTCCTAGATCCTTATCTGTAAAAGCTGCGTCAATACTCAAAGGATTTCTCAACAAGGTAAGACTGTTTTAAAAAAAAGTTAGAAATTTGAGGACGAAGGAAAAACAAAACTAGCCTTGTAATGAATTTGCTTGCCAACTTTTCTTAAAGATATTTCCTTCTCACAGTCAGCCAATGTTGCAAAACGTTCAAAAGGTTTTTGAAGACCAAGAAGGTTTATAGAAGGAAGGGGATATCAAAACAACGAAACAGTAAAACATCGTTTTGTGAAAAAGTAGTATGTTTATTGGGATGACTCGAGGAATTGTAGTTCCCGTATGCTAGGCATAACACAATGCGCGAGAGAGGGCAGATTTTCTATCCATATGAAGGGCTTCAATTAAATATGATAAATATAAAGACGCCATAGCTTATTGTATGCAAGCGGTTAACTCTTTGTTGATGATGTCTTTAGAACCCCATCGAACGTTTAGGTTGTCATCCTCAGACAGGATTTGCAGATATAACATCACATGTGTTCTTCCGGACGGTCGATTGGGAACAGGTTTGTACAGCCTTTCATATTTTATCATTTCTGATTTCGTTTCTCATATTTCGTATATTTTTAGCAGGCTTTACATTGGTTTATTATCATTGGTTTACATTTATTATTGCCCTAAACTAAAGACCTCTTGAGCTCCAGCGAAGAAAATTCTGTCAGCGGTTCGAGATTCAAAATAGAATGCTTCAAATTCAACTTTTCCAAACACTGAAGGCTCGTCTTTCAAGATTCAGCTCCCTGAGACCCCCGCTTTGACCTAGATTCAGTGTGCAATCTGGAGCATTCTTCCAGACGAAAGTCTCGCCAGTTATCGGTTGCCTCGAAATCAAGATTTTGATATGTTTCAAATTAAAACAATGAAATTTTGGAAACGAAACAGTATGGAGTTGTTATTTGGCCTAGATCCACACTACTATTCATAAGACGAGATCTTAAACTATGGCTTCGGGGCCGTAAAGTTACCGCAGCTTCCGTTAAACGGGCCCTTGGAGTCAGTGTTAAGATTTGTAGACTGTTTCGCAGATGGCGGCAATATGAGCAATTATAAATGTTCTTTTTGTTTACTCTAACAGTTGGAAGCACGACAAGTTGCTCCCCCGTTCAAGCCAAGGATAGAAGATCAGTATGGACTGGAAAACTTTGATCCTCAATTCACCAACGAACCTGTTCAACTTACACCAGATGACCCGTAAGTTAAATTTACTGAAGCACTGCTATGATTTCAACATACAGAAAAAAAAAAAAAATGGGTGTTGATTATCGATGACTCGGTAAGGCAAATTGGAGTACGGAAATCAGATTCATGTTTTACTTTTTCATTACAGGAAAATGCTCGAGACCATCGACCAGTCGGAGTTTGAAGGTTTTGAATACATTAATCCTCTTCTAATGTCCTCAGAGGAGTGCGTTTAATGGCTGCCTTCCAAGAGTGGAGAGCTTGATGTATAGAACTCAGTAGAGTCATTCTTGAAATTATATCTTTATACCACTTATACACTGAAAGTTCACATTCAGAGCCAGAGAGGTAGCATGATAGTTAATGGAGTATTTCTAACGTTTGTTAGCAGGACCATTTCGAATAACTCTAGCTCTGTGATTGGTTCAAAAATGGGACTTCAAAATCAATCGCTATTTGATCATTCGCGCTTTATATATGTCCAATTAATTAATTTCTAATTGGCTTGATTTGGTCTCGCGACTCAAATACGAACACCTTCGCGTAATAGTTTTGTAAAAGATTACACGACATTAACATGTGCGGTATCAGATAAAGGAAAGCTTGTGAAATAATTCAAACCCATTTTCTGACAGAGATAATATACTTAAGAGGAATTTTGTAATGTGTCATCTATACTCGGATAATGTACAAAGCGGGGGAGTAAGAGGCTACATTTACCATACAATACCATCAGATCCTTAAAAATGTAATTTTCACAGAGATGACTTGTTAAAGGGTAAAGTTAGAAACTTAATATCATATCTTACACGAATACGATTGTAATTTTGTCAACGTAGTAAATTAAATGCTGATTAAAGCAGCTCTATTTTACGCCATTAAAAAATAAAATTCGTATCGTTGTATTGAGGAATATTTTAGTTTAGCTTTGTGTAGGATGATTGAACAACTGGCTAGGTCAAAAACGAGTCGTCATCGACCCAACCAATTAGAATCAGTATATTCTATCAGCCTGAATTCTTCCCGTGCGGGGACTGCTGACGTAACACTTGCTCTTAGTCCTGAATGGCTTTTGAATTTGGTTTAGTTTCAATTCGAGTGCGTGAAAACAGCTCCATTTTCACTTCTACGTTTTTAACTCAATTGTAGTTGTAATATCACAAAACTTAAGTACTTTTCAGTATGGGTTCGTTATAATAGGTAGGTAGGTAAGTTTTTCTACAGTTTTGAATTTGTAAACAGTACTGGGAGATTGCGTGCTATTTTTATGCCGAGATACACAATAAACTCATTTGGTGAAGCTTCTTAAGATGTCTTTAGTCTGTTGACCTTGTAGACTGTTTCTTGAACTTTCCAGATCGATTACATCTGGATCCTGCTTTGAATGGTGACGTCATCGAAAGCGACTGATCCACCTCAACTGGGCTGATAAAATCCTTCCGTTCACTGTCTATTTTGTGCTTGTCTCTTCGTAGGTCCGTGCGGTTGGCTTTGTTTAACCCTTTAACCTCCAAGAATGACTAGCATCTAATTTCTCCTTACTATATCAGCCCTGAATCACACATCAAGGTCACGAGAATACTGGAAATGATCACCAACTAAAGAAGCTCTTGATTGTTAAACAAATTCTCCTTGTCAGGTGCTGACAAAGAGAATTTGATTAACAATCAAGAGGAAATGTCTGCGAAACAGTATGGAGAATATGCATGCTGATGTTAGGGTGTGAACGGTTAACGTTGCGCGTCAGGCAATCTTCTTGCAAAGAGCTTTTAGTGTTTGTTCATTAGGTTCTAGGTATTTTTTTTTTTGTGCGTGTTTCAAGAGTGAGGTTCCCCGCTACCTGAACATCATCTCACCGTTTAAGTCAATTAACATTTTACACCCTGGGTTACATGACCTGAGAAGCTTACATGGCAGTAAAATTGTTGAACGCTCAATTACAACAAAGGCGGTGTTGGCTCCGCCGCTCAAACCCCCTGAAGACAGCCAGCGAGGCTGGTTTGACTTTGACCCTAAAACCACTAACAGTGACTAACATCTCATCTCTCCTTACATGTATCAAGGTCTTGAGAACAATGGTAATGATCATCAACCACATAAGCTCTCGATTGCTAAGTAAATTCTCCTTTTCAGCACCTTAGGGAATGTATAGAGAACAGTATGGAGAATATGCATACTGATGTCAGGGTGTAGAGGTTAAATGAAAATTTTGGCAGGGTAAATTATTTTTAATAATCACCGTGATATGAAAACTAACACCTTCATTCATTCAATATCAAAGTATAACTGTATATAAATTATCAATATATTATTACATGGTTAAGATTTCAGCCAATGTCGATTGCTTGTCTACTCCCGATCAATTTTCTCCTCCTGCATAATATATCCCAAATACTTTGTCACGTAAGTTTTTTCAAAGCAATAAAATTTTACAAAGCAAAATACTCAATAATGCGGGTACTTTTCATAATTATGTATCAGTTCACATTTACCAGCACTTAACGAATCAATGTTCATCACATTTTTGACACAAAATAACTTAAACCTAGGTACTATTTCTGTATATATATTAATAGTGTTATGAAACATAGTATCACCCTAGACCTTGATCCCCATTAACAACACAATGCTCCCTGAAGTAACCTTCGTGGTTACTGAAACATAATAATTTTGTTTTGATTCGTAGTATCGCCGATCATTTCATGAGATAAATTAGAAGGTATCTCGAGTCTGTATATGGTGTTAAGAGACACAAGAAGCTACAAGACAAATGAAGAACAACAACTTTTGCCTTGACTAACAACTGATAGGTTAATGACCGTTAATAGAAGATCAACTGTGTGGTCAAGTAACAATATTTGAGTCCTTGCCAACTATATCACCGAGGCATTCCCTTAAATAGAATAAAACATCGAGATAATCAGCTTATAGGGAAGACAAACATCGAAAAGGAAAAGAGAATCCGAAAAGGAACGTCGACGTTCCAGTTCAAGGATAGCCGAGACTGACTCGGATTGTAACTAAAAAGCTTGGAAAATATACACGGAATTTCTCTAACCGTGACGTATCTCATTAAAAAAGGACTTGAATTCTCTCAACTCAGTTCAGCCATCATTGCGGTAAAATCTGATAAACTCTGATAATCAGGATCCGCTGGTACGCTATTCATATAATCTTCATCTTCACATAACACGTTCGAACCGGAAATCAACAGACTACAAGGGAGGCCGTCGGCGTGTTTGGAGTAGTGTTCAACTAAAGCTGTGAGGTCCGGTAAGACTTTGTCAAAACCCTGTTGAAAAGAGAGCCATAATTTAGAAGTTCACCTACTGGGTGAAAAAAAATGTTCAAATTCTGGAGAACAGTAAAACTGGAAGGACTGTTTAGGTGCCGGTCAGTTTTATTTATCCCAACAGTGCCTCCCTATGGAGGGCCGGGGGGGGGGGAAGGAGGAAACCCTTGATGGACTGGCATTCTGTACCCTACTACTTGCTTCATGCTACAGCAACCACGACAACCTCGTTCTCATGCTCCTCGTTCTTCCTTTCTAAAGGGAAGACAAAGAAGGCACCTTGGAAAAGTTGACACCGAGATATACTCCATCTTTAGTCATGTAGCCCTTTTCCTGGTCATTTTAACGGTTCGTTAACTACAACAGACACTCTTTACCTGTATCATGACGCCATCTTTGACTTTCACGATTAAAAAGTTTCCAAAACCACTAGGATTCGCCTCCTTTGGAACACGCATCGTCAACGCGAAACAGCCAGGTCTACTTTGACTGTCGCGCACAAAGAATGAGCCTTCCTCTGAATTTTGTAACATCTCAACCACAAATTCCCTAGTCGAAGAAATCTTGACATTAATGATATAAACAATTATCATGACCACTCACCATCACTTATTTTCCTAGTAAAAACTCTCCTTTCATTTCAAAGGTTATTGCAAGTTAAATCCCACCTGTCTTAGGCCCTCTTTAACTTTCTTTGCGGGGATACCGTAATGATTCGATTTGGTGCCCGGGACCCAGTTCTTCGAAGGCTGATTAGCGCTGACCCCAGGTTAAATTAAAATCCGGGTTTCTTTATTCCTTTGTTCCAAAACCTTTTCAAGACAATTTTCTCAATTCTTTTAGAGCATCCAATAATCAAATTCTAGACAAATTTAATTCCATTCGGGTAACAAAAAAATAGTCATCTAATCGACTTTGGGCAAGAAGATGTCCCTGCCAAGCAAGAAACGTTTCCTTGTTCGCGAAAACGCTCATTCATGAAAACGCTTGTTCACGAAAACGTTTGTTCACGAAAGCACTTGCTTACGAAAACGCTATTTCGCGAACGCCTCGCACAGGTTTCACGTCAATCCAATACCAAAGACACATTTTCATATTCAATTTGAACTTTTTTCTAACCCTGATTGCTGAAGTAATTACTGTAATTCGTTCGATACAAACACCAACCTTGGTATCCCAGGCATGTACCAATTTTCATCTTCGTGGCTAGTACTCTTGGACGCAGAATCAAATTTATTGCCTGTCGACAGTTCGCGATCCGCTGCTGAAAAACTCGGGTCTGATGCAACCTTGGCAAGTGGCAACATCGAAACATTCTGCTTGGATGACACGCCGTTCGAAATTGCGTCGCTCCGCGATGGCGGCGGAGTAAATGAACGTTCGCTGGTAATCACAGGGGCTGTAGCATGTTCTTCGTTTGGTGGCGTGTAAATTTTGTTTCCCTGAACTGGAGCACTGATTTTCCTTTGTGCCACAGGGCTTTCATTGATTTTCCTCTGTGCCACAGGGCTTCCATCAGCGACTGCATCGGAAGGGCTTGCCTTTCTTTCGTGTTGCCCAGATACCTCATTACCCTGCGGAATATTTGACTTGCGGACTTCAGGTGGGGTACGAGCTTTGCCAAGAGACCTACGTCTTCCCATCCTTGGTGATGGTTTAGAAGGAGTCGGTGAGGCTTGCTCCTCCGCTTTTGCTTCTTTCTTGGGCGTGGCTTGTTCCCTTGGAGAAGAATTAGGCGAGCTACTTCTGTTTGCTGCTTTTTCTTGCTCCTTTTTTAACCTTGCAAGCATTGCATGCTGAGAATTCTCATGACCCTGTTGGGCCTCAAGCTTGGCCTGAAAAATAAAACAGCTATTGAATCACCAACAATCAAAGTCAAACCCACAGCAATGGACACCGTGTAGAGGTGGTCCCCTCATTAACTCTTTAACTGCCAATATCTGACTGTTATTTCTCCCCTTTAGCTGTAGTGTCGACCTCAAACGGAGTACTAGTGTAAAAAACTTTATGAGTTCCCTTTTTAAAATAATTATAAATAATCATATTCTTATGCAATTATTCATGTAAATTTTAAAATCTGTATATAACCACATTTTAAAATCTTCTTTTGTGATGTACAAAGGCTTATATACTATTTTAATTACTATTAATATTGTTACAACTACTGCTATTACTTTGTTTTTTTTTTACGGCCATTAGGTTATCAGTTTTATTACTGTCAAATGTTACCCGCTCAATAAATAAGGTCTTACTACTACTACTACTGCTGCTGCTGCTGCTGCTGCTACTGCTGCTACTGCTACTGCTACTGCTACTGCTACTGCTACTGCTACTGCTACTACTACTACTACTACTACTACTACTAATGCTACACATTTCCTTGTAAATTAGTGAGGAGAATCTGGTGATAAATCAAGATAACAAATTCTACCTGATAGGTAAGAGTATTCTCGCTACCCATTTACTGGATAATGTATGGATATTATAGGGAGAAGTTACATGTTAATCTCTTCTGGGGGTTAGAGGGTTAACCACACACTGAGTCATGGTCCTGCCTTCCTTAACCCTTTCACACCCACCAGTGACCAAGACAGAATTTCTCCTTAGAACATCATTACCTTATCAAGCAAGCAAGTGATGAGAATAAAGAAAAATATCAATTGGGGGATTATTAGTTGATCCAATATCAAATTCTCCAAAATAACATCATAAGAATTGTATAACAGACATTTAGGAGAATTTCATTGATGAGATCTTGGAAGTGAAAGGGCTGAAAACCTTTCACATCAGGATTTGCCCTTGCATTCTGTGACATGTGAGAACAAACCAACTTTAATCAAATGTAAAGTTTGATGGGAAAAAGCTAGAAAGTTTGTACCCACCCACTTTCTTCCCTGAGGCATTATGCTATCCGGCCCCTTCTTCATTGGTTCCATCTTAAGTTCTGTTCCCTGTGGAAACTTTGATTCAGAAAAAGCTACTTGAAATGCTTTGCCCACCAAAGCTGTGAGACTCTGTACCTATGGAAAAAATATAGGAATATGGAAAAAGAGGAGTTAAAAACAAGTTGGAATTGAATAAATAAATCTTCTTACCTCATCCATTCAGCACTCTGCCATTGCTACCCATCTGTGAAAAATGCAGAGTGGTAAAATTGTCGAGTAAATTTAATTTTCAACCAAAGTAATTTTCACTCACCTGTCTTGTATACTTCGTCATAAAAACATGGCAGTATATTGCTGTCCCCATGGGGGAGGGGTCATGAGACATGTAAGCAAAGAGTCTAAATTCTGGATCACATGTTGCAAATGAGATTCTCTGTAATGGATGGGCCATTCTGACACACTAACAAACAAAAAAACAATCACTCAAAGTATCACCATCTTGAATTAAAAAATATGGTAAAAGAACTTAGGAAAACACTGTGGTCTAGATGGCTAGCTCTGGTATTTGGATTGAAAGTTTTGGGTTTGAACTCTGGGGAGAGTGATTGTTCTTGATCCTGGGCAATACACTTCACCCTTGACATTTCCTCTCAACAATGGGGAGTCAAAAGAGGTACCAGGGAACAGTCAAGGACTTACAACCAATACCCACGTAATACCAATTGCCTGTTAAAACAAAGAAAAATATAACAAGGAGGAAATGTGAAGTCAAGAAAAGCCTAGAGAAACTGTCAGATACCAGTATATAGGTAAATGGCAGTGATCAAATTGCACCTGTTTTTAGTTTTGAAACTGATTGGTTGGGACGATGGCACAAGCTTTCTTGATCCATTAAAGCATAGTAAAACAAAAACTAGACAGAATGAAATTGCTGTAAATCAAAAGTATGCAAGTCAATCTTACAAGTACATGTAAGGCCCGAGGAAAAGATATGTTGATAGGATGGATTTTCAGTTTTTTGATGAGAAATTTAATTTCAATCAAACCACAAAACACCTTTAAATCATGATCCTAAAATACAGTGACCATTGGCAAGTAAAGTACTTTAACTACCTTGTCATTGGGAGAAACAACTTTGATTCCATCAGTAGAAGTCAGAATAGCCACTGCTACACCTTTCTGAGCATTCTGGAGAAACAAACATTTGACATCATGTACAGTACTATAAACTAAATGTTATCAATCAAGAAGTGCAAAGCTATGAAATGTATGATAAAATTTGATATAAAAAAAGGTGAAGCACCCACTCTCAATTTTGCCCTTGTTAAGCTACAAAATAGGGAGCTTTAGCAATGACAACGACTACGGCAACGAAAACGACGTGTCGAAATCTAACTTTTCGTTTTTGTAACTTTTTGAGGTTATTCCAATGTGTTTCACTTGGAAAATGCTGGCGAACTATTAAGGGACTATATCACTACGAACGGCGTTAAAGGAGAAAGAAAGAAAAATTAACCGTCATGCGCTCATGTTCTCGAGAAAACCTAAAGTTTGGTCATTTCACGTTGTTGTTTTGCCGAGAACGGCAAAGAAACGTACCAAAATGTTAAACGCACGTGCAGGGCAATTGTTTCTGCTCATTAAGCCTACTGTTTTCTGCCGTTCTCTTTGCAGTTGCCGTCGTCGTTGCTAAAGCTCCCTAATACTTAAGCCAGACCAGTTGATAGAACTGCAGTCACAATTTTACGTTTTGTTAGCAAGAGGAGGAGAATAGCTTTGAAGAAGAGTAGATTCATTGATTTGGAAATAATTAATCAGGATCACAGGTCAACTAATGATTTCAGCCCAAATTTTATGTTCTATCTGTTTTGATGTTCCAATATTTTTTTGTGAATTGTAATTTAGTGAGCCTTGGTCAGAAATAAAAGGATGTGTTATTTCCACTCAGTTTTGCAGTTTTCAACATCCAGAGAAATTCCCTGTGGACAAATAGACTCTGAGACTGAAGATTACCTCCTAATAATAGGCTAATGGGGATGTTGTGCCATTGGATGGGTTGCATTTTCATGACTACATTGACTTTAATGGAGTTGCATTTTCAATACAGTTACAAGAATGGGGTTGCAAGATTTGGAATTTCAGGGATAAGAAAATTCGGGTAGGTAGAGATTTGTGGTTAAAAAGTTGTAACGGCATTTCGTGCTGTTATTTTAATATCTAACAATCTGCTTGCATTACAGAATGACCTTCTTAAAGGGCTTTACAAGGTAGATGCATGAAAAGAAAATGATTGAGCTGGGATTGTAAAAATTGCATTTGCCCAAAGTGACTACAGATGGGGTCTATTATTGGCTGTACAGTATGCACTATAATAATGTACAGGTTCTCAGAAACCAGCAGCACATACCCTGCAAAGATTTACCCAAGTGCTCCACAAGCATTAACTGCCTGGTAATTCAGTTTGTGATGGGTTATAGGGCTTAAAAACTACCCTATCCAAAACCAATGCAACTAAACCAAACAGAAAAGCTCAGTGTAAAATCTAAATACACTAGTAGTAAAGCAGAGAAACTATCTGTACATTTAAATGCAGCAACCCCATATCACAAAAAGTCTTTAGTCAAATGACCCCAGATCTGATGAGAGTTGTTTCATTCTCTAAAACTGTAGAAAAGGCATAGTAAGAACATGAACTTGTTTGTTGCCTAAAAAGGATCCTATAATCCCTCAATTCTGACAACCTAGACTATGATATACTTAACAAATAGATTTCATGTTGCCATGTCTTTTCTGTAAAAGATCACAGATGACATCAAAATGCATGATGTGTGATGCAAGTTACATAAAACCTACGCGGTATTCTTTTAGCTTCTTTTTCACAAATCTTGTTCTTTCTTTGTGTGTTGATAGTGTATTTGTTCCCTCTCCTCCAGTACCCAGACTCACAGCAAATGTTCCAACATACTAAATAAATCAATCATTAAAACAAACAAAACAATGAAAATGCCATCACTTACAGACCATATTTCCTTAAAAATTGCCCTTCAGTATCATTGAGAGGAAATATTTTGTATGGATTATCATGCAAGGAAATATTTCCAGATGAAATAAATGTAAATCCACTCTGCATGGTAGAGTAGAACTTGACGATATCCTGAGCGTGCAATGCAGCGATTTAGCATGCAAAAAAAGCTCAACTGGCATTTAAAATTTAAATTTTTTGGTGTGTATGCATGAGTGTTTTTTTTTTTTCCAGTACGTACATTTGCATCTTGAAAAAAAAGAAAAAAAAAAACACAGACACAAAAAACTCCCAAAAAAAGCGTTTTTGATGCCTGCAGAACAGCTAGTAAGTAAGAGCTTTCCGACATAACAAAAGTATTCCGGAAAGTTTCCAAAGGGCAAATTAACACCTCCTCCAAATGATAGCCAATAAAATATTGCTCCTAGTGAATAATTTTACGCACGATGAAATACTCAATTACGACTCTTGGGAAAAATCGTAAATGAATATCGCTTATAGCACATCTTAAGAGGGTCTGCAGACTTGAACAAAAACGTTGTTTACCTTCTTAATAACGATTCTTTTGTAAGTTCATGTTTTGATTCTTGTTTTTCAAAGTTTTGTTTTCACATCTGCACTAATATCGTCAAAAAACAGCACGTGACTTCGAAAGCTAGTTTTATAACGTTACGGTTCATCTAGTTCAACAAAAAGGTGTTAAAAATTCAGAAGCGAACTTAAGACCGAAAGTAAATCTCTAGGAATATATATATTTTTTAAGTAGTACTAAGTTTCAAGATAAAACTTTGGCACGAGCTATGCCCAATAAATATTTTTGTGCGTGAGCGGACTTGTTTCAAACACATTACCAAATTTCTTGCTGATCGTTCTCGAAAATGGGTTGACGTTCTTTAGCAAAAAGTATCACACTACTCAATTAAGTACCTGACAAAGTTGCTTGGGTCCCAGTAATTTGGGTTGATTTTCTGCCGGAGTCAAATCAACAAACCCCTGAGAATCGAAGCCGTCCACTTGATCGCCATCTGTTACTTCACTATTACTTCTATTTTCGACGACGACATTAAATGACGAATCATTGTCGATATTTGATGAACGATGGTTCTGTAGGTTGTTGTCAACAGTCTGCGCTTCTTCTTCCGATTTCTTCTTTTGCTTTTTGAACATTTCCGCCCAAAATATCACAACAGAACCTTCCGCAGGTAACACAACTCAGCGAAGAATAAAATCGACTAGGTCAAGCGGTCAGCAGTTTTAAAGTTATTAAACCGGAAATGACACGAGTCACCAACTCCGGAAGTGGTAGGTAATCTTTGAAGAAAGATTGCCTTTGCTATCCTAGTCCTCGTTAGTACAGTATATTAGATAAATGGGCTTCTTCGTCTCCTTTTGAAAATTGAACCTGGCAAAGCTTTGGAAAAATTTATACATCAGTAATTACCCTGCCGTAAAGTCAGTTTTTTAAACACTGCTGCGCTGGTCATGCCTTAGTCTCGGTTGAAGGGGGAAGTCAGAAGTCAAATGAATTTTTTGCTACTTTCGTCACTCGCAAAATTTTTCTTGAAATTTCTGAGGAATTTCAATAAAAATTTTGGGTGAAACATATATTACCTTAATCAAGGATCGAAGTGGGATTTGCAGGTTATCCATATGGTGAGTTCTCTATACATAATTTTTTGGCCTCAGTGGAGTTCTTTAAAGAAAATCAACAAAAAGCTCTTCTTAAGCCCATGTACATGCAAGGTCCAAGTCAGGCTTTCTTGACTTAATACGGTGTTTCCCGCTTTTTCGCTTTTACAAGCTTTTACTAATCTTTTAGTAGAAATCACGAGAAGATCACATTTTTCCAGTGTATGTGTCCACTGTCAGAGCGTTAACCCTTCTTATAATAACTTCTTGTGGTACCCAAAGCGTTTGTAAATAACTGAACCCACCTCTTCCGGTCGTACTTCATTCAAGTTATCTATTTGTCTACGACAAAGAAAAGAACCTGACATGGAGTATTTGAGAACGACAACGAGTGCATGGACGACGGGGGGCGGGGCATTGGAGACTCTTAGAACCCGCAAAACCGTAGAAAAAATCGCGCAAAGCCGTAAAACCGCAAACAAAATTCGATCAAAACCGAAAACCGCATGAAAAACGATCCACACCAATACATTTTCACTTCCCAATAGCCCTTATAACCTTATCGCATTTGTGTCTGCAATGCAAAGGGTCCGTGGAGTTACAGTTTCAGGACGAGGCTATCTGGTCAACGTTTTTCGAGAAACACCAGAAACACTCCATGTCTGACCATAACTTTGGAATCTGTGTTTTTTTCTGCCGAGGAAAAGGTTGAAATCCTTAGCGGTAATTGTTCTGGCATCACGAAAGAAAGATTGAAAGAATGGCTGTCATTTCGGAAAGGAACGGCAAAATTTTGTCGCGTTTGTTCACGACTACCGTTGTTGTTCCTTTGTCGGCCTTTTTGAGGTTTTTAACTCAGAGTCACGTTTCAAGGCACTCAGCACCTTGCTTTCGGCCGGAAGCAAATTATCTCAGTTGGCTTTGTAATTTCTATTACTGAAAGGTCACTTTTAACCTCTTCTAAATAGCTTTCAAGGGATACTGATTTTTGTATTGGTGGTATCCATGTAGATTTGACGTGGCAGGGATGGGTTTTTTGACCTCCCCTCGGTATATGTAAATCAGACGCATTCTCCTTGCGAACTGATCAAAGTCACACAATAGTTGTTGTCTGATCAAAATGCCTCCAAACGTAGCCGTTTGCTTCGATTTTACTTGAAAGTTTTATCACAGGCGGCCTAAGCTCTCTTTGAGAACCACACAAGGAACGCAATTTGCATATTTATAAGGATTTGTACGGGATTTTCTACAAGATATCCACAGAGATAGTTAAAAGTGAAAATATTAAATGAAAATGGCTTACCTTGTTCCATACGTGTCTTGTTTGCTCCTGGTGTCGTTATTTTACTGATTTCACTTGATTTAAGCGGTTTTTTTTTTATCCTGGTTTTCTACCACATAACGAGAAGGCTTCTCTTTATGTGGTAGAAAAGACTTCTCTTTTTATGTGGTAGAGAAGACTTCTCTTTATGTGGTAGAAAACCAGGATTAAAAAAAAACCGCTTAAATCAAGTGAAATCGGTAAAATAACGACAGCAGGAGCAAACAACACACGTATGGAATAAGGTAAGCCATTTTTATTTAATATTTTCACTTTTTAATATCTCTATGGAGATCTTGTAGAAAATCCCACTGACAAATCCTTATAAATATGCAAATTGTGTTCTTTGTGCGGTTCTCAAAGAGAGCTTGGGCTGCTTGTGGTTTTACCTGTGTGACCCGTAGCCTCGTTTCGAAACTTCAAAGTCCGCTGAGCTCTCGTACAGTGGGCGTAAATGCGATAAGGGCTATTATCAAAACCCTAATCAATCCGATACAGTGGTGACAAGTGGAGCACATAGAGAAACCGGAACCCAAATAGGAAATACCGAAACGGCACTTTGGATACCAAATCTAGAAACCCATCAGTATTTTGACAAAAACCGAAACCCAAATGTTAAAAAAACGGAAAATCTGCAAACGGCAATGAACACCAAAACCGGAAAACCAAAGTTTTTTGGTACAAAAATCGAAAAAGCGATCTAAAAATAGCCAAAACCGTAAAACAAAAAAAACCAATGCCACCTTCATGGACTGATAAAAACTCTGAACAAAATAGAAGCGAAGTTCACAGGATAACAATCTCATCATTTTCGTTAGGAGTGTTCGTCAAGGCTTTCGTCTAGACATCGAATAACTATCATTTTACGACTGCAGAGCTACAGTTACAGTAACTGCCACGGGGGCGATTTGACTCAGACGTCATTTATTGCCTATTGTATTAAACTTCAATCGATTGAAAGCTAAGATTTATTAGTTTATTGCAAAAAGGGAAAGGCGCTCAGGTCAGAAGTTATGTGTAGCGTCTCAACACGTACACCTTAAATGAAATGAAAGGTAACCTCCCCCCCTCTATGTTGCATAATCAGCAATTCACGCCTCCATTTACGTTTTATCAAAATAGAATCGTTGCTAATTAGTGTACATTGTAGTGTGACCGTAATATATGCAAAATGCTAGCAGGTATAAAACACGTGAATTTTGGCTCTACATTTTTATTACTTGGATTAGTGTGCGTGAATAAAGAACTTTGTTTTTACAGAACCGAGTAGTTAGCACTCTACCTAGTTCAAACTTGCTCTCCCTTACCCTTGCCTTTCTCTTGACATTGAAGACGGTGCTGTAGTCCCAGTCCCCCAGTGAAGACGTGCAGGTACGCACACTTAACTTATGCAATCCAAAATGGCGGCTGCCTCCGTAGTCTGTGCGAGAAACATAACTACTAAAGCCCTGCAATTACGGCCAGCAGTGGCTATTTCTAAGGTATGTGGAATTTAATTGAACAATGATGGTTTTCTTGCATCTTAGGCCGGCTGATCTTGTAGTAGCAACACGAAACGTTTGCTATAATACTTTTCGTGTCAAACGTATTTCCAGTAGCAAAGGTTTAACAAGTGTTATGTCATTGATCACCAGTAAATGCGATCGAATATTTTATGGTGTTGATGATTATTTCCAACCTTAAGCAGTTTGTCTATCGCATTGGTAACGATGAAGGTGTACTCATGCTGAGTTCTTATTCTTTCGTCTTCTCTGTCTCCTTATTTCATAGATAACTATATGAAGAACGTTTAAATTTGTACCCAAGATTACTCTCTAAAGTTATCCTATTCTTCTTTCGTAAAAACCACATCGCTGTTCGTGACTCCGGAACTTTAATTTGTAACTGGATAGTCTCACACCAACATGAAATGAGCACAACTGAATCTGGAGTAAAGATTGGTAAACCGTCGATGAACCTTTCTATGTGAATGACTTTATTCTTTTTTCGTTTAGAATCTTTTAATCAAATTGATTATCATTAGCCTTTATTCAGTATATGATAATGGATGTGAGACTTGCAGAAAGTCAGATACAGAGTGGTTTCAACAAAACCAAACAAAACAAAACCAGCAGTTTGTACCACAACAACAGATTTCAAGTTTGTTAGCTCATTACACCCTAACATCAGTATACATATTCTCCATACTGTGTTTTATATGTTTCCTGTGATACCCGGTCTCTTCTTACAAAATAAAGTTGAGAAGATTTGTCCAATATCTTGGGGGCCTTTTTTTTGATAAAACAATTATTCCAATGTGCACTCGTGGAATAATTGTTAATTATTCTCATGGCTTGTCTGCTCAATATTGTAAGGAGAAAATTTGTTTTGGTCTCTCATGGGAGATAAAGGGTTCAAGGGTTAAATGCTAATACCTCGCCGATGGAAACCTGAGACATGGCCTTTGGACTGCTCATTAACTGATTTTGATCTTCAGATAGACTCATTTAATGAATTAGAAATTAATGATTACATAATTTACTGTTTTGATTCAACAGATTTCAGTACGGAATGCCACATCTGCCAGTGACAGTCCTCGAATGAAAACATTTTCTGTTTATCGTTGGGTGAGTATGCAAATGAGCTTCGCTGCAGTAAATCGTACTTTGTTTGTAATTACAATGCAGCTGTTGCCAGCAGAATAAATGGCCACTAAACTGTCATTAAAGGATCAGAACATTGTACTCTTTAGACTAGAAAAAAAGAGAAGATCATAAAAAATAATATCTCACATGTTGTTGGAAAAATAATAATGATGGTTAATTTCTATTAATACCCTTTTCATTTCTAGGACCCAGATAAACCTGGTGACAAGCCTAGGATGCAGGAATATCAAGTTGATCTAAACCGGTTTGTTATTTATAATACATTCTTACATGATAGTGTGGTCTGATAATTTGTCAGGGTGAGTGTAGTCCTGAAAAAGACTGTTGTATGTTGTTGTGCAGGGGGTTTCATCAATGTTTTTAGCAGTAGAGTAACTGGTTTTTACAAATGGGCAAAACTGTTTGTACTGAACATCTTTGTAAGATAAACTTGCCTCCAGATGGTCAAACCAGTTGGGCAAAACTGTTCTGGGCTGCTTCGGTAGGAGTAACGAAATAATTTGGATATATCAACAAAGTTAAAATGGTAAATTGGCCACCGTAAGGATTACAAAAGCTGACGTTTCGAGCGTTAGCCCTTCGTCGGAGCGAATAGAGGAATTGTGGGTTGTGTGTGCTTTTAAAGGCAGAAAATGGAGCTACGTTATTGGTGGGACCATGACAATGAAACCCCTGGTTGTGACTGATGTTTCGACAACCTGAGTGGATTACACATTACTATTGTCTACACATTTGTTTCTCTCAGCGTTGTTATGATAATGGTCTTGTATGTGGTGGTAAGTTACCATAGATATACATGAACATGTTCAACTGGTCTATATTAATTCATATCTATGGTTATGATACTACTGTACAACATTGCCTAAATCAAGAAAGGTTTGTAATAAAACAATCAATTATTACTGAGTTTTTACCATATCCTCAAAAATCTGTTTTCAGATGTGGTCCAATGGTCCTTGATGCGTTGATAAAGATAAAAAATGAAGATGACCCAACACTGACATTCAGGAGATCTTGCAGAGAAGGTACTTATAACAGTCACTTGCATATATCTTGTCCCTTAGTTCCTTGTAATTTTATTTTATGGTTAGACCAAATTGCATCAGGTGGTGAAACTCAACTGATAATGTTTCCCTCTAAATCTATGGCAGGAATCTGTGGCTCATGTGCCATGAACATTGGAGGAACAAACACTCTAGCTTGTATAAGGTAAGTTTGAACCATGTTTTGCATAACTACTTACTGTATGTTAGTATGTCTACTGTATGCTATTTACTACCGAAGCCGAAAAGGGACAATCCAAAAATTTGGCTCTACATTTTTATTACTTGGATTAGTGTGCGTGAATAAAGAACTTTGTTTTTACAGAACCGAGTAGTTAGCACTCTACCTAGTTCAAACTTGCTCTCCCTTACCCTTGCCTTTCTCTTGACCTTGAAGACAGTACTGTAGTCCCAGTCCCCCAGTGAAGACGTGCAGGTACGCACACTCAACTTATGCAATCCAAAATGGCGGCTGCCTCCGTAGTCTGTGCGAGAAACATAACTACTAAAGCCCTGCAATTACGGCCAGCAGTGGCTATTTCTAAGGTATGTGGAATTTAATTGAACAATGATGGTTTTCTTGCATCTTAGGCCGGCTGATCTTGTAGTAGCAACACGAAACGTTTGCTATAATACTTTTCGTGTCAAACGTATTTCCAGTAGCAAAGGTTTATCAAGTGTTATGTCATTGATCACCAGTAAATGCGATCGAATATTTTATGGTGTTGATGATTATTTCCAACCTTAAGCAGTTTGTCTATCGCATTGGTAACGATGAAGGTGTACTCATGCTGAGTTCTTATTCTTTCGTCTTCTCTGTCTCCTTATTTCATAGATAACTATATGAAGAACGTTTAAATTTGTACCCAAGATTACTCTCTAAAGTTATCCTATTCTTCTTTCGTAAAAACCACATCGCTGTTCGTGACTCAGGAACTTTAATTTGTAACTGGATAGTCTCACACCAACATGAAATGAGCACAACTGAATCTGGAGTAAAGATTGGTAAACCGTCGAGGAACCTTTCTATGTGAATGACTTTATTCTTTTTTCGTTTAGAATCTTTTAATCAAATTGATTATCATTAGCCTTTATTCAGTATATGATAATGGATGTGAGACTTGCAGAAAGTCAGATACAGAGTGGTTTCAACAAAACCAAACAAAACAAAACCAGCAGTTTGTACCACAACAACAGATTTCAAGTTTGTTAGCTCATTACACCCTAACATCAGTATACATATTCTCCATACTGTGTTTTATATGTTTCCTGTGATATCAAAAAGGAGAATTTGTTAACAATCAAGAGCTTCTTGGGTGGTTGGTCATTTCCTGTTTTCTGATAAACCATAAACTTTGATTCAGTAGTAATAAATTTTTTAGAGCAATTAGATGCTAGTCACTCTCAGGAGTTGACCCTTTCGCTCCTAAGATCTTCTTTGTAATTCTCCTTACTGTCTGCAATACAACTCTCATGATGCAAGTTTGGAGAATATGCTACTGGATCAACTAATTGATATTGATATTTTTCTCTATTCTTATGGCTTGTCTGCTTGATATTGTATATCAATTTGATATATATGATACTGGATCAACTAATTAACAATTGGTTCATGCTTTAGCGTGCACTTTCGAGTTATGGAGCACGCGGGAAGTTTGGAGAGCATGAAAGAAGCGTAAGAGTTGCCCGAGGCGATAGCCGAGGGAAACTCTAGCTTCTTGAGTGCTCTCCAAACTTCCCACGTGCTCCATAACTCGATAGTGCACAGCTGAAAGCATGAACCAATTGTTTTAGAACATAGCCGGTGGAATTGTGCATCAAATCCGACGCGAAAAACGGACAACAATATCAGTTGAAGCGAATCGTGACGGCGCTGTTTCCGAGTCTCCTTTTCCTTTGTTTTTCTCTCTTTCTGCCTCATTTAAGAGCTCTAGCCCAAGGGAAAAGGTCGAAACATTGTCTTCGTTTTCGGACTAGTAGGCCGAGTTTCTGTTTGTATCCATTATTGTCGCGAAATATATTATTTTTCCCCGCGCTAACAATGGCCGCTCGCGCGAAAAAAAAAGTTCTGGCGAAGTCGGATTTGCTGACGCTATCAGCGTGCACTATCGGGATTTTGAGCACGCTCACGTATAATGAATTTAATTGCGCGACTCTGCTAGCTATGTTCTAAATATAAAATCAAAATGTG